CACTCTCTAAATGAAATAATGTATGGAGTTTCTCGTTTAAATATCTCGTGCATACTGTACAAGACCGAATATGTTCTCTTAAAAAAACGAACACCGGAATTTTTTTTAATATACCAATAGGGACCACAAGAAAGCAACACCACATGTTTCAAACAACAGTTCTTGTTTTATAATAGTCAACTTGCTCTTGGAACAATAATCCGAAGCCGTGAGAAGAAATTAAAAGCGGCAAGACCTTTCCACACATTCATCGCAATCCCCAACCTATAGCTGTCTTTTTGTGTGTGTGTGTGTAGGGAAAACTTATGATACACATATCTCTGTATAAATAATTATTTCCACTTTCAATTATAGTTCTTAATGCATGAAAATACCCTACAACGTAGTTTTTAATATAAAAAAAGAGGATCAAATGTTTCAAGCAAAATGTCTTGTTTTGTAGCAGTCAATTTGTTCTTGGCACAACAAGATGAAGCATTGAGGAGAAATTTAAAAAGCGGGAGATGATTATTGCTTTCAACACATTCACCTCAATCCCCAGTCTATAGTGATCTTCTCTTATTTCGTGCATAGAAAAACGTATGGTAGAAATATCTCTGAATAAATAATAGTTTCCCGTTTCAATGACAGCATTGAAATCCTTAATGCAGAAAAAAAAATACACGGCAACTGAACTAAGATAAATATTTGATAACGTTTGTACCTAACAAAAACTTTCTGCACTTACCATTGACATTGGTAGTCTCCAACGTTTACACGTTGACTTCGAACAACGCTGGCTTCACATGCACATCAAATTGTGAGCCTCCGCTCCCCACGCGATGCTCAGGGATTCTGGTCAATTCAGAATTTGTGATCACTATCACCCTTCACGCACTCGTCTGTACGTGCGTATCTACTTGTATTCCGTCACTAGGTGATAAGTCATTCAAACACATTCCTTTTCACTAGGATTGCTGTCAGGCACAACTCCGGCGAACTTTACCTGTACTCAGAGTAATGGGACTAGACTCTTAGAACACTAACCTCTTAAGAAACCAACGTTTCGTATTATTCGGTTAAGAGAAAGGAATTTATGTAACCTTCCAAACGCAAACTCTACTATTCTACCTTTCTTTACAAAGTGCCTCCTTTTATATACGTAATTACTCTTAAACGGAAAGAGGGGAATGCAAGGGAAGTGTTATTGTTGCAAATATAAGATAATCAACCCTTGCTTATTTGTTATCGTATAGCTTTCGGGTTCACGATTGATATGATCAAATGGTAATAATCTTCATTTTTGGTAGTTGATGATACAGAGATTTAAACTATTGGAAAACATATGAAAAACAAGTTAGCCAATAACTTCTTACTTGGAATTTCTTTTTACTAATCAAGACATGATAAAAATCTCGTGTTTTGTGTTTTTAATATGTGTTTTAAAGGTTCAGACATAGCCACCCCTAATTGAGAACTGCTGAACAGAGCGAGAGAAATGATTCAACAGTACCCATCGCTTATACGGTTACTGTTACAGAATGTGAGGGCCGTGTTTGTTCAACAGTATTGCGAACTCAATCTCCAGTTTTCCAACTGATCTCTTACTTCAAAAAATCGATCTTTTAAGTCGCTTTCTTCCGCTATTTCTATGTTCCCCCCCCTCTCTCTTTCCCTCTAATAGTGCAGCTTCGATATGATTAATATATACATTGACTGCACACAGATTCATAAATCTATGAACGCACTATGAAAACACGTCATAATACAGAGCAAAGGCTAAAAATTGTATCAAAGACACAATATTTAAACACTTCTATTCGAGGTTGTTATTCCAATAACGAATTGATAGAAATTAATACAAATGAATGATATCACAGCTCATGCTACAAAAAGGATAATAAAACAAGTATAGACAAATAACATTTACTGCAGTTACTTATACTGATTTATTCTATATAACTTTGTGATACCTGAAGTTTCCCTCACTTTAACTTTCGAGGTGGAAATGAGAAGAAATATTATGTAACTTTAAACAATTATAACATAATGAAAACTCCTACCTACAACCTCTATTAACCCTAACATAATCAAATAACCCCTACCTACAACCTCCGTTAACACTAAAATAATCTAACAACTTATACTTATAACTTTCATCGATTCTAACATGATAAAAAAAATCTTGCCTTTCATTTCCAGTAATCGTAAGATGATAACAAAAATGCTGCACAATCAAGCAAGTTTCAAAGCCAACTCTTTCGTTATCAAATAAATGACACTTTTTTTTTTTTTGGAGGAGGGGGAGTAATACTATATTCTTGTGCCTTTTAAAATTTTCCAGTAGATATGAGGTGTTTCATCAAGGTTAACAAAATCAATACCTATATATTTGGTTCACGACGAAATCCCGATCCAAAGGACACAATATTGTGATGAAGGAAGCTTTGAATGTTCGCTATGGAGCGCGGAAAAATTCGCCCAGCAACATCATTGAAACCACACCCGAAACCGATCAGAAGCAAGAACTCTTTTATCAGCAAAATAAAGGATGTGGTTAAAAAATACCCCTCCAACCCAAAAAGACATTACAATGAATCTGGGCATGTCTCTGGGTGTCACTAACAAGACAGAAAACAAGAATTAGAAGTTGACGAAGGCACACAAGCTAGACGTTCTCAGACACATCTAAAATGAACAACTGATTTTACGAGAAAGATGGCAAAAAAAAACAACAACAACAACAAAAAACTCGAATCATAAAAGTCCCATTCTATCATATATTTGTGAAACCTTCCAATGCATCTTCAATGGGTTATTGTGTTTTCGGTTTGTTAAACGTGGTGTTGGAAGTAGAGTCTAAGAACAATGGAGAAGAGTCTGTTGAAAGTTTGGCAAGTGTCGAAACATGTCGATTATAATGGTGACTGTAGATCAGTCCTAAATAAAAGATGTTGATTGTGTAAACAACAAGAAGTTATTTTTTAACTGTAGTATTTATTTACTGAAGTTATATTCTAACCCCTTCAGTACACAATACTTGAGAAAATATATGTTTCTATGTTTGAAATTTTATTTAAATTTTCGAGCTTTTACAAAAAAAAAATACAACTTCGATTACTTACCCATGCTGGACTTTGTAATCAACGAATTTGGTTTTATCAAGCTGAGTTCCTATTGTACAGACAAGACTTCATAACAACTACGTATACCTCAGTAGTCCTTTCTTGCTCCGTATTTTATTGTCTTAGATATAGATTCAATGCCTGACTTGTGCACTGAAACGTATAATATTTTTATGTGTATTTACCTTAAATCAGCATGTGTATGTTGAGTGTGAGGGTTTACAACACTAAAAATCTGGTTTTGATACCCGTGTTAGACACAGCACAGATAATCCATTGTGTAGCTATGTACTTAACAACAAACAAACAATAACTGTATTGAAATTTATTCTGGCCGTTGTTTGTAAAGAAGTGCGTTTGCATGTTCGAAGAATAACTTTTAATATCATATAGCTTTAAGCATGAATTATACACATTATGGATATGTCATCCGGACTCAAACACTTGCGATAAAAATCACGCTCTACTTCTAACATGTTTTCTAATACCATATTTAAACTAAACCATTTTAGTTCTATCTTTTGTCTGCCACAAGCAACAACTCAGGAACCTCTTTATTCAATCCGCCATGCGCTCATTAAAGATGATATTGAAACATTTGTAGTCTGGAGTGTTTTTTTTTTTTTTACGAATATTAAATCTGTTAGTTCCATTGCTTTGTCAGCTTTCGGTGTTTAGCTATATAATATTAAAAGGGTGGCAGTTACTTTAAAAGATTTTATAGACAAGTTAGCTATAGTTAAGTATTTTCAATAAATGATCGACCTTTATGGCGGTTGATACATAATTCTTCATTCCGTTCCACGTTTTGTTTATTTCATTTCCCCAAAGATTATTGAAATTAAATGCCGTTTAAGATAATTTTTGCAAATAATAATAATATAAAGTGCCTAAAGAGCACAGATAGTCCATTGTGTAGCTTTGTACTTAACTACAAACAGTTCTAATATTTTACTAATTTATAGGATTCTTATTTATCTTTATAGTATGTAATTCATTGTAGTGAAGGTTTGTAATTTTCAATACATTATGTATTTGGTATCGCATGGAATATGCATTTAATAGACGTAGAAAGTGAAAAACGGTTTAAAATGTTCAAACCTGCTGATTCTTAACCTAATCAGCGACCAGTTAATTACTTTTACTAAACTAATATCGTGGGATTTTGTTTATAAACGAAGATAGTCTTTGGTGTAGGTTTGCGCAAAAATTATGAAAAACAAACGTACAAACAAACTCGTTAAAACCATACAGGAATATCCCTGACAGGACTGCTTTATGATTGTCTCTGTTTCTTTACCTTCCGTTAAAACCATACAGGAATATTCCTGACAGGACTGCTTTATGATTGTCTCTGTTTCTTTACCTTCCGTTAAAACCATACAGGAATATCCCTGACAGGACTGCGTTATGATTGTCTCTGTTTCTTTATCTTCCGTTAAAACCATACAGGAATATCCCCGACAGAACTGCGTTATGATTGTCTCTGTTTCCTTACCTTCCGTTAAAACCATACAGGAATATCCTTGACAGGACTGCGTTATGATTGTTTCTGTTTCTTTACTTTCCGTTAAAACCATACAAGTGATCTGTTCTTAAAGCATTATTATAAATATTCATATATTAATGTATCATGTAAATGTTACATTTTAGGTATATAGTAACATAAAAGATTAACGTTTATATAATATTATATATATAAAAATTCATTAGAGAATATCTATTGTATATTCTGAATATTTATAATTTAATAATATCCATGTCATGTAAAAGATGCGAAAAGCATTTTTAGTATAAAAATGTTATTTTATTTTAGATATATATATATACACCTGAAACAGGTTTCTTGCAAATTGATAAAAAAAATTATTTAACGTAATGATTGGTAATCATAACGCAGTCTAGTCAAGAATATTAGTGTATTGTTTATTTGTTGCTGTTCAACAGAAAGCTACAGCATGGGCTATCTGTGCTTTTCTCACCACGGGTATCAAAACCCGCTTTTAGTTTTTAAGCCGTCAGATATATTACTGTAAGAGATATTTCGTGGTGTCTAACTTATCAGAGCGGAGATTTAACACACTTCGATGATAACAAAAGCTTGTCGAAACGTTGCACATTTGCTGTTATGTTAAACTTATATTAAAGTTTCTCTTCATTACCCATTCAAGCCGTCTCCAACCATTATTACACCTCGAATTAAGAAAACTTGAAAACAGATCTGACTTGCTCTACAAAAAAAAAAAAAACCAAAATTATCGGTATTGGTTTATTAATAATAAAGTTATTATATCAATGTAAGCATGAAGTGGTGTAAACTATTTTATGAACACGATATTCAAAAAAGAGAGAAAATGTGTAAGAATTCTATGATATTACAGCTAAATAATAAACTACGTCAAGATAGTCTTAATATTGACAACAGATCCATATATTAGGTTTGTGAAAGTTTAAACAGAAGATCAGTAACTTAAAGTGAATAAGTGAGATGCAAACATACAATAAATTCACACTTAAATTTATGTGTTTGTTTTTAAGAACAAGGCTACACAGTAGAATATATGTGCTGTTACCACAGCACAAATCGAAACCCGAAATTTACCGTTATAAGTCCCTAACACTTAAAACAGCACTTCGCTATTCCAAAGGACAAGTTTTTATACTGGATGGTTTACAGAAAAATTCTGTTCCGGCTGATCAAGCAAAGGAATTCACTAATATCGATCTTCTTAAACAAAATTTTTTTCGAATTGTCTCTGCCAACAAAGTACAAAATTGTCAAGAAATCTCAAACAATTAGTGAAAAACACAAAAAAGAAAATAACTTTTCTTCGTATGTAATGGAATTGAAAATGAAGCTGTCAATCTGAAAAAACAAAAAAAACACTTGACACCATACGTGGGTTCAGGAATAGCCGTCTCTAATTTTGAACTACAGAATATAAGAAGGGCAGATTGACAGTACGCCTCCTATCCGGCACAAAGGTTTCGTCCAGTCTTTCGAACCGAATAGCAGGACTGACTGTTACAACTGAAAGTGTGAAGCATGTTTAACGGAATTGCAGCTCGGTTGTTGATGAAAAACAGAGAGATAAAAGAAATGATGTTCTTATACATGCTTTTCGCAGTAACATCCAACTGCAAAACTCACTTCACTGTGTTAGACAAGAGAGCGTTTTTCTCTTCCATTCAAACTTATGCTGCTTTGGAAACATGGTCATAGTACATCTGTATACAGACGGGCCTGGCATAGGCTGCTGGTTAAAGCACTCGACTCGCAATCTGAGGGTCGCGAGTTCGAATCTCTTTCACTGAACATGCTCGCCCTTTCAACCTTGGGTTCGTTATAATGTGACGGTTAATCCCACTATTCATCGGTAAAAGAGTAGCTCAAGAGTTGGCGGTGGGTGGCGTTGGCTAGCCGCCTTCCCTCTAGTCTTTCACTGCTAATTTACGGACGGCTAGCATAAATAGTCTTCGTGTAGCTTTGCGTGAAATTCTAAACAAACCAAGCATACAGACAAACAACTAGAACAAAGCCAGCTGTAACATTTATATGCTGTAATCCTTAGGATACATACAAGTGTCAAATGTTTCCAAAATATGTTTTCCTGTTTTAACATCTTATTTAGAGCTAGAAACTGTAAATCGACGTGTCCAGGAACAAAGAATTTTAATCCTCTCCCATTTAATAAAACGAACAACACAGAGAAGAGAATTAAAAATAAATAAATAAAAACAGGCAAAGAATAAACTTATCTTTTCCTAATGTATGCGCCAAGACTTACCAGGTGATCAAATAGCGTGAAAACAACAAAAATGTACAGACGGAGATAATAGTTGCCTCCCCATACTGACAGGACTCCACGCTCACTAATATCAAGAACAAAAAAATGTTTAAAACAGAACAGGTATTTAAATTTGTTACTAATCATTGCCCATTAGTCAGATAAAGTCGTGAAAAGCATTTTCTATTTTATCTTTGTGATGAAAAGATATGAAACATAGTTGCAGCTCAACTGTTGCTTATTTGACAGAAAAAAGTTTTACTGAAATAAAGTTCTCATACACATCTGCGAAACTTTATAATTATTAAGTATAGTTCAACTGTATATTGATGATACGATTTCTCAAATGGTGCTATATTCTAGTAATAATATATGCCTAAAATAAAAAGATATGCATATATATGTTTGCAAATTTCCTGTTTTACCATAATTCTGCCTTTAGCCGTAGGACCAAGTACACATGTGACTGACTTGTTTAAAGCTATCTTATAACAGTATCTTTAGTGCAGGGACAATTAATGTACCACTTCAATACTTCCCTGTTGACAGACGTTGACAACATTCACACTTTGATGTCTGTTCTGTGTTCGATATCTATAAGTGAATAGAGAAGCAGCACAGTTGTATTCTCTCTCTTTGAGTCCGATTGGTGCTAAGTGGTTAGGGCGCTCGACTCACAATCTGAGGGTTGAGGGTTCGAATCCCCATCCCACCAAACATGCTCGCCCTTTCAGCCGTGGGGGTGTTATAATGTGACGGTCAATCCCACTATTCGTTGGTAAAAGAGTAGCCCAAGAGTTGGCGATGGGTGGTGGTGACTAGCTGCTTCCCTCTAGTCTTACACTGCTAAATTAGGGACGGCTAGCGCAGATAGCCCTCGTGTAGCTTTGCACGAAATTCAAAATAAACAAACAAACATATGTGATAACCATCCACGTATTTAAAATGAAAATGATTATGAAGCACAGTTGTATAAAAGATTATAAGCGTTTATCAAAGCCTTGTTGGTTTAGTGGTTGTTAAGCGCAAAACTATACAATAGGCAATCAGTGGTCTGCCCACCACGGGTATCGAAACCTGATTTTTAGCGTCGTTAGCCTTCAGATTTACAGCTGACCAATGGGAGTTTATCAAAGCTTCTTCAACCCATTGACTGGTAGTCACCTGTTTTCGGCTGTTCTTTTACAGCTTTATTAGTCAGACAACATCATTATCACCCAAATGAAAATTCTGAAACAAACACACAAAATTAAGTACTTATTAAAAGAGTTTTTCTTTCGAAACTACGTATAATAGTTTGTAGTGAACATAATGGACTGAGATTCCGAGAGTCTCAGGTTCGGGACATGTTGCTACCAATACACTTCGCTCTTTTGACTGTGAGTGCGTTATAAGAGTGACAGCCAATCCTGCTATTAAGAGTAGGTGCTTCAGTTGGCGGGTGCTGCCGAATGTTTGTTTCTTCTGGTTTGCAGTCCAAAATTAGAGATGGATATATCTAAAACAATGGAGTTTTTGACACTCCGTTTGACCGATTGTGTGCATAAGTTGTTTAAGTGAAAACAAAGAAACTTTGATAGTTTTATTTGCTATCATTTTTTCCCTTTATAAGTAATGTTTTAATATAATATTATAATAAATGTTAAAATGATAAAAATACTTATTTCTAATCATGGGCGGATTGGCAGGACCAGTCCGGGCAATATCACATGCTGCCTAATGGTTAAACAGTTAAAATTTAAAATTAATTTATAAGAATGCGTCAATTGCCTAGTGTCCCAGTAGGCCAATCTGCCCGTTTCTAATGTTGTTGATCTATAAATTATCGTAAGAATTTTTACATTATGTGGTATAAATTTATCAAAAATCGCCTTAAAGAAACAGTTTCTTTACTTGATTGGGCAGTTTGTTGTTTTTTTTCAACAAAAATGTCCCACGCTGGCTCGTGAGGGATCTGTTAAAAATTCGATTAGATGTCACTACTGGTGTTTTGCAGAATATTGGGAATAGGTTTTTCGAAGGCGTGAGATCGTGAGTTAGATTATAGTTTATACTATTATTAGTAGAGTATAGTAGTTAGTATACTAATAGCACAACATAACGTGAAATTGACGTATAGTAAGTTAATCAATGAATGTTAAATGAATGATGATGATTATTTCGATCATTTGAACAAATTGAAGTTGATTAACAACTTGGACTTAATTTTGTATTACTATAAAAAAGTATAAGACATTCATTCTGAAATGCTTTCTATAATTTATAAAGGGGTGCTCTCTCGGTGTGTCATAAAACAGTAAATTAGAAGAGTTTTAAAATCATTGAAATTTATGGAAAAAAATGGAAAATGGTCCAATCAGGGTGTGCGTTAATTTGGTATATTTTCTCACTTGTATGAGTGTGCAACTAGTACCCTTATTTCACTACGTGTTCGTATATGTATCACTTTCAATAACAAATTCCATAACATTCTTAAATTTTGCTGATATTACAAAAATAACGATGTATTACTAATTTGGATCCAATATTATGTTACTTCTAAGCTCTAAGGAATAATGACTTTCTAAGCTTACAGAAGAAGTCTTCAAATATTTTTGTATCAGATTTATTACCTGATCTTATGCTGAAAAATAGACCTATTCCAGAATAGCATATACATTTTTGAATAGTAATTACTTTATGTGGCTGTACTTGTCATGTTACTGTAGACTTTGGTATTGTTTGCTGGATTTTCTTGGTCATTAATTTCAAATTTGTGACAATTAAGTGCTAGAAAAGCTCTGAAAAAGACAACTGAATCACTGTTAGTGTGTGGAAACTGATATCACAAATCAATACCACATTAAATAATAACGCCAGTTAATACCATATCATGTGTTATATAATCCTCTTTTTTTTTTATAAATTGTGCTTCAAAGTAATAAAAACATTGTGTGATTAGCAAATCAAAATTTATGCTTTGTGAAATACATAATTACATAAGTGTGAAATGAATAAACCAGCACATCCTTCTGGTGTAAAAAATGGGAGTTACAACCCTACCTCCAGAAGATTCATTAATGACTTATACAGAGTTGCATATGTAACAGAAAGCATCACAATTTGCAAAGTTGACAGCAAATAAAACAAGTTTGCTCTCCATGTGTACAAAATTGGTAGTGGCTACACAGACAATTGTATATAAAGGAAAAAATCAGTGGTTGGCTATGTGGTGGACATATATTTATATATAACTATTTTTACATGGCCTTTTTTTAATCCTCGTTACATGGTTAGAATTACTGTTGGAATGGCATTCTACTCATTGTGTACTTTGATTACAGCACCAAACTACAACCATTTTGAAATATATTTTTTATAATTTCGACTATAGTGTGAGAGAAAAAATTACATTAGAAAATTATAGGTGAGTCTTTTCATTGTAATGTAAAAAGAGTACACATTTTGACTGTGGAATATCAAGTAATAAATATCATGAAACAGTTAGGACCTACTACCAATGTTCACCTTGAGAGTGCATGTCATTTCAACAGTAATGGGCAAAGAGAAGGCATGAATGCTGAAAGCAATATCATTATACTTTGAGGTGGGTGAGTAATTCAGAGATGAAAATAACATTTCACTTTAAATGTTAGAGTAGTAGAAGTAATCAGTGCTTAAAGTGGGATGGGATGCCATTCCACTTTTTTTCAAGAGGGCCCGAAACCATCCCACTACCTTTTAGTAGACTTGAAACCACCTCAGTATTTTTACAGTTTCCTAGGGCTATGCCATATATCTTACCCTCTCTTTCTTTTATCTTTTGCACCAGTACGGCACAAAACAACAATGAAACAAAGTACAATGCACAGTAACACGAGTTTTTTTCCACTCCCACTTTCCATAAGCAGTCTAATTTGCTAATCTACCACTTTGGACAGTAGTCTAGTCATGACTGTAAGCTCCTCAGGAGGGATAGGTTCAAAAGACAATGCAATAGATATTTATGGGGACAATTTGAAATGAGATAAACAGACCCGGATTTATGCAAAGAATGAGTGGGTTTCATGGCAGCCTGTCGGTGGGGTTAAAGCTGTGCCTGTGGATAAACCATGCCATTACATCCCATGTTCATCTACTTGGTTGATCTTCCACTTAAACTTTTTAAGCTATGATTGGGAAACAACAACGTATATGTTGAATACACATTTTGTGATTATATGATTATTATAAATTTAGTTAATAAACTATAAAAGTTCAGAGGGGCTTTTTCAGGCTGATACATTTTATAGGGCAGCTTGTATCTTAATAGAGATAGCCTCTATATATGCTATAAGATTATATAATGTCATCAGGTTTACTTGGCCGCTTTTACTTCATCTGTGCCCTACAAAATTGATTTTGTGGCTATTAAAATCTTCTGTGGTCAAAGCCTCTAGTCCCTTCTCACCATTTGTTTAATATAAATTTCAAAACTTTCGCATAATTTTTGTTTTATGAACAGCACATGTTCAGTTGAAGCTTGGTGTACATATCTCTACACATACACACTGGACAGTATATAAAATTTCAGCATTTGCATTGTATTGTTACCAGTAAACATAAAGTACAATTTATGTCAGAAAACATAGGATCTATAAAACTTGGATTTTCTCTTTTTAGAACTTATATTTTAGATGAAACTTTCTGTGTGAAAGCTTTGAAAAACCAGTCAATTTTTAATAATTTGAGAATAAAACAATATTATTTCCTTGTATATTAGTTTGCAAATCATTTCCAGTGTGTTACATTTATATATGTCATCTACAGTCAACATAAATGGTAGATAATAATTAAAGATATAGAGTGGGGATGATTTCCATGTTACTTGTATATGTAGATGTGTGTGACGGGTGTTTTGGAATACTGTTTAGTTTTGGTCCCTCCATTTTTAATATTATTATTATTGATACATTAAAAGAGTGCAGAGAAGAGCTACTGTCTCTGTAAGTTTGAGCTGTGAAGAGAGGCTTTGACTTCAGTTGGTTTTCATTGAAATGTTAAAAATCTGCAACTGATGTATTTCTGGTGTTTAAAGTTGCTACATTTTGGGTTAGCTACCCTAATTGAAAGGATGCAATGTGGGATGCAGGCTTGTATATACATTATTAAATATGATAAACTTACTTTTTCAAAGCCCACATCTGGATATATTCTTCTCTAAAGCTATTTCTCTGTTAGATTTATAAATTTATGGCATGGTTTACTGGGTGATATGGTGTGCACAGGGCAAAAGTGAACTTTACAATGGAAAAATAAATTTACATTAATCAAAATGAAAACCAACTACAAATTATTGATGAAAAATTTTAGATGTATAGGTCAATTTTAGTTTTAGGTGTAAAAATTAATGAGTCATCAGTGCTTTTTTTTTTTTTTTTTATTAAGTCATGTAATTGTGTGCATGCACTACTGCACCCTAGTTTTATATGCATAAGCAAAACTTGTGCACATGTTGACATGAATTGTTTTCTATTCAACAGGCTTTCTCCCTTTGACTCAGCCACTTATCATTTGAATAGATAGAAGAGCAACTGGATGGAGAAAACTTAATAAATCATTGCCATTTCCTTTCACAGTACAGTCGCAAAGAATGTTTAGCACCCTGGTCAATAAATCAAATAAACTCTGTCATTTTCATACACAACCTGAAATAGTAACATTATTTATCTTACAGTAATCGCATGGTAACTGCTTGCCTAAAATCTTTAGTTTACTTTTTTTTTTACTGAGCATTCAAACAGTTACTTTCTTACATTTATAAAAGTTCTAGTTAATAGTGACAAAGAACTTGAATTATTTTTATTTGCTTGCTTTCCTTTGGAATCAGTGTTGTAGGAAACATATTCCTTAAGCTGAATTAAATTATTCAGATGCATCTCAGCAAATAGATTAGTATGAAACAACAAATTAAAGTTGAAGCTGTTCATCTCCTAGCAAGTTTGTGTGTGAATTTCTCCTGTTAGTTTTACCTGTTTAAATGTAACATTTTTTCTTAATTGTTTTTTTTTTATCAAGAAAGCTTTTCATTTAAATATTGATAAACAGAAGTTGTGCACACATAGCATATTGCATAAATATTTACATTCTATAATGACATATACTCATAGATTGGAATAAAGAAGGAATGTTTTAATTTTATTTTATTTTTAAGGGATAATAAGGGGCTATGTGGCACATCTTAGCTATCCAATCATCACCTACCACCCTACTCCAAACTACATAAAAAAGTATCTTTTCTTACATGATCCAGGTCTTCAATCATCTTTAAAATTCTTAGGATTTTGGGATTTTTGCTAAAAGTTGTTAGAAAGGGGGAAGTTTCTAAAATACTAGATTTTTTTTGGGAATTTCTGAATTTTGTGTGTGTCTTCCCAAGAAACTGAATTATATAAAGTAATGTTGGTTGCTTGTTTCTGTTTAAGTATCTATTTAATAAATGTTTTCTAGCTACATACTATGCAGATTATTTTTCAAGCTAGTTTCTCTAGTGAATCCTCATCTTCCATATACTTCAAAACTGAGTATCCATAGTTACATATTACTCTTTTAATGTGTATGAAGTATGCAATGGTAACCAATGCTGAAGACTAGGATTAAGAGTTAAGAAGCAAAATAAGTTTGTGGTTATCTACTGCTATTAGTTTAGAAAAAGATAAGTTTCTGATGCAGTTATTTGGAAAAATATCCTAAGAAGATCATAACTGTCTCTTAAATTCCTAAATGTTCCCCTAGAATAATTGAAAATTAGCCCAAAAGTTTTGCTAAAAGGTGCTTGAAAACATATATATACACACACATACATATAACCCTTATCACTAAAGTACTTTTCCAATCTCCTCTCAAACTTCTTCAACCTTACAGCCTCTACCATACCTGAAAGCAAAATATTCAATAGTTATCTATATTAGAAAAAGTAACACTGTCTTAACTGTAGTCATGTCTGAGTATTCCATTCTAGTCTTTCTGTCAGCACGTTTTTAGGAGGCATAATTTAGATTTATGTAATCTAAACCTCTGACAATTTTAAAAACATTAATCACATCTATCTACAATAGATATCAGTCTACTCTCATATGATAACTTAAAACCTGGTAGCTTTTCTCTGAACCCTTTCCAACAACTAAATATCCTTTTTCAAAAAGTTGACCAGAACTTAATATATTCCAAATGAGGTGTAATCAACACATTGTGTAGAGTGAACTGATGACCTCCTTTGACTTGTATTTGATGTTTCTGTGTATACAACCTGAAATTGTCTTTGCCTTATTACTCACTAACATACATTATCTCAAAGATTTTAGAGACTTAGTGTAGCTAAATAGGTTATCAACTTATTTTTCCTTAGCACTCCTCACTAATTATGGTTTTTGAAAATTAATTTGTGCCCTAAAGTATTGTTATTTGAAATTGTCCAAACTTTTCTTGGATAATTTTCATAGTAGTTTGAGTTATTCAAAACTGTGTCTAATTAGCAATAGCTAGTTAGTCAACCCTTTAACTTGTATGATAGAGCACTTGCTTGGTGTGTAAAGAATCTTAGGTCAACCCTCATTAGAGATCATTATTAAACTGGAATGTAAGGCATGTACATAGATATTTTGATGAGAAAGGCTTCATTTGACCTGATACACTATGCCCTGGGGCATCGGGAGTTTTTTTTACATTTTATTAATCTTTCTAATTCTGATTTATTTTTTTTGATTATCAAGGTTTTCCTCCTAAGTGCTCTGGAAAAACTATGACACACCCAAGGACAAACCATATATGAATTTACAGGATATTCTGTGGCATGGCATAATGGGTCAATTATAAATAATTTGTGTTGATAGTCTTGGCTGAATTTTGTTAGTGAATTGGCAACCTTAATGTGCTGAATTGCCTTCAGTTATTTTGCTTTCCATTTTTGATACTGTTATATTTGTACATGTAAGTATTAGAATGTGTTGCTATGAAAATGTTTACTGTTCATTATCTTTATGAAAAAAGTCATGTATATTTAGAGTTTGGGACCACTGATTTCATGTACCACTTAAAAAAACTACAATTCTATAATGTAAGAAAGAAAAATGTAGTGTATAGTAAATATAATAAACTGTATTTCTCTATTTATCTAGGTCCATCCAAAATATTGTGGTTGTTAATGAATATGGTCAGCTATAATGGTGTACCTGTGCAGATTTTCTTGTTTTGCAGACCTGCCATGACTATGTGTTTACTTGGTAAATTCAACCAGCACCCCAACTGTCAGCACACGCTAGTTAGAAATTTGTCTACATGTTCTGCAAGAGAAACAGGGTCTTCATATAGTAGTATCAAAAACTGTAAAATGATGAAGAATCCAAAACCAGTTCCAAACATATTAGTTAAAGAATACCGATTACAAAACAAAAGTAAATGTAAAAGTAAGATACAGCTAGATAAAGAGAAAATATTTGGATTTTGCAGAATGACCAGTGTGTTCACACCACAAACAGTGTCTGTTCGAAAGTTCTATTCATTTGAAGTTTCTTGTACACCATCTGTAATACTAAGTCAGATTTATCATGCACATAAACATGCACTAAAGAGAGGCATGGCAGGTCACAGCAAGTGGCAAAATATACGTCACATCAAGGGAAGCAAAGATGCCACGAGAGCCAAATTGTTTGATAAGTTAAGCCGCTTAATAAGACAAGCTGTCATAGGTGAGTTTGAATCATTTATTATTTTTTATTATTATTTATAATTACCTTAAAAAATGTTATGATTTAATTTATGTATAACTTAACGTAAACTTTTGAAGCTTTTTATTGAGATACTTATATAGCTCGAAAGTGCGAAAGTACCTGTCCCCTATATTTAGATGTAAAACAAAATTTCAACTAAAATACCTAAGCTAAGGTTTGAGAAGTAAGACATGTATGTTATGACTATGAATTATTTAGTGTATGTTGTGTTATTCATTACTATAGAAGGAGGAAGTGCTGATCCTAAACTTAACAGTAAACTGGCAAGTTTAATTGAAAAGGCAAGGTCTAACAACATGCCTTCTGCCACTATTGATGGAATTCTGAAAAAGTCATTGGTGAGAATATAATTAACTTAATTATCTACTATTGTGAAAATATAATTATGATGATGAATTCAAAAAGGTGTACAAAAGTGCTACTACATATATAGACAATTTTATGTTGTATAAAATGATATATACGAAGAATAACTCAACTCGTGTTTTAAACTGTTGATTAAACTGACAGTTGTGTGAATCATGTTTTTAAAATACTTCCAGAAATCAAAAGAAGGTATTAGAAGTAGATCTAGATTCAGAATTCATATTGTTAAATTTAAAAGTAAGAAATTTTATGTAACCTTGTATTACGTGTTGGAATGTGTACTGAGATTAGCTATTAAAGCAATACCTGATTTAAAGAATTTTAGCTAATATGTGGGGAACTTTTAAGATTTTGATCTGTTATTTCCTAGAACACAGAAACTCTAGATAATGTTTAAATTGTTAGATGTTTGACGATCTTTCAATAGGTATTTTGTATGAATAGTAGAATGGAAAGAGTGGAACTGTAAATTTGAATATTAAAAGGTAATATGTTTAAGTAACAAAAGACTAAGTGCAGACTTGTTTCTGACAAAAAATGTTTTCAATAAGAATTATAAACTGCTGAAATGATTTTTATGCATAGTTAGTTTATATTCTATTCAATGGTTTTGAGATAAGTATGTGAATGTGAAGGGTTACATGTACATTTAAAATGGATTAACAAAAAACTTGAATGTTCTGGACTGAGGGTGCTCACAGTAGGCTAAATTGACTTCTGTCATCTTGCCTTTTATGTGGCCTTATGTGACTTTATGGACAATATTTTTGTTTTTTAATTTCATTTATTAATGTCATTAGGCTTGGAATTCAAGATAATTGGTGTGTACATGTAGATAAGTATACCTGTAAAGGGGGTTAGCATCCTTTTCCTTGTTGTATTCTATGTTTTATATTTTGTGTAGAAACGTTTAACACATGTAAGTAAACATTTTTGGAAGAACTTAGAAAAGAATAAGTATACCTTATCATAATTATGGTTTTCAGGAAATCCCATAAATGAACATTTTTACTTCTTAGTATGTGGTGGAATATTTACTCTTGTTTTTGGTTTACATGAAACAATTTTAATACTTTCATTAAAATATGAGCACTAGAGTGTCACTAAGTCTGTAAAGCAGACTACTTATATTGTTAGATATGAAATAAACGTTTTTGAATAAGCTTTAATTGCTTGTGATTAATCTAAACATAGTTATCAAAAAGAATAGGAACAAAAAAGCATTAATTATGCTTGAAACTTCATTAGTCATTTTTTATTAATTTAACTAGTTTAACAACACAGCTGTTTGAAAATATGTATATTTTATCTACTTTTCTGTAACTTTCTCTTCTATAAAAGTAAAAAAAAAAACCTAATCATCATACCTAGCAAACACATGATTCGACTAATACAAAACACTATCTTAGTGATCATGCAGGTATTTTTCATAACTGGTATTTGTTTAGTTGAAAATTAAAGTTAATTGCTAAATTACATTATGTAGAATAAAATTTTTTTGATGAATAAAATCACAATAACCTACTTCCATTATACATAATTTTATAATATTTAGCACTATTGCACACTATTAAAAGAAAGAAAAATTACTGACTACTTTACTTTGATTAATGACTTTCTAGAACAAAAAAACAAGGACAAGTTTAGTAGAAGTAATGGGACCTGGTGGCTGTAGCTTAATAGTGACTGTCGAAACTGATAATTTGTCTCGTCTTATTCATGAAATCAAACAAACTTGCCGTAAACACAGGTACGTAGTGATTGGTAGTTAATTGAACATGTGAATGGTTAAGTATTACATTCATCATTATTTAAAAAAACATTATATTTATGTAACTGAAGAAATAATGGCTTTTCAGTAGGTTCTTTCTTAAATTTTTGTTATTTGTAAAACATTTCAATTGCCGATTTGATCATCTCTAGCAGCACCTGCCGCCAACCTTTTTTTTTCTTTTTTGCTCTTATGTATCATTGATTAAGAAATATTGTACTAATTGATTAATTGAATGTAAATTATTAATGGAGCCTTTGACCAATCAATTAGTAAACACCACTTATTGCATAGTTCTATTCTTTACTAATTTTTGAAGAGTAAAATATGATATTTCCTATCATCACAGCAGTTTAATGTGAAATGTAGAGAACATAAAAAGTGTAGGTAAATCATTAAAGAAATTTTCATGTAACTCAAAATTCTATGTAAATGGTGGTTATGATTATAAAACATGATTTCATGAGTACATTTCATAGTTAGGTATCCTGTAAAACACTTTTAAAGCCCTCTGATTCTTTGCATAGTGAAAATGCTGTTTAGTAATAAAATACTGTATTTGTCAGAATATAATGTGCACTCAATTTTAAAAGGTTAAATTGAAGACAATTTTTTTACACATTAGTTGTATAAAATGTATTGAATAGTTTGTAAATACAGTAAACAAGTATCAATGTATTAAACATTTTTGGAAATCTTTCATTGAAATTTTTTTTAATGTCATTTTTCAAAATTTATTGAAATGTTTACACCAAGCTAATCATTCGTCTTCACATAAATATTCATCATCACTAGAATTGTTGCTAACATCGGATTTGCTTCCTTGAACATTTGCTTCGTCCTCTTCTGTCATCATCCATCCCATCTGCTGAATTGGATATCCAACATTCTTTTTTAAACCTTTAATGATGCTTTAATGATTTTTGGTGGTGCACATTATATTCAGGCAAATATGGTACTAATTTTTAAGGAAAAGCCAGATTAAATACCATTTTGTAGATTGGAAAACTAGTTTTTACAGTCAATCTTATGACAGGGTGAAGCTTAAGATACAGAAGACCATACATATAAAGCTTACATATATATACACCTGGAAAAAAGTTAAGCACCCCCAAATATTTTTCAGGATTGCTTATTGAAAATAAGGTTTAATTTTCATGATGTTGAGCAATGTTCATTATTTCAAACATAATTAAAAAGATGTGAGCGTTCAGGTGTATCATTTAAATCAGGCGCATTTTTTTCCCCACGTGCAACTTGCTCCCTTCTTCACGTCCAATATGCACTATTTTCTCGTGCATCAAATCCATATTTAAGTCCCAAATTTCTGAATGCAAAATCATTTTAAGTAAGAATGGCAAGAAGACGGATATCAGAGGCGCAGAGATGGCAAATTATTGGCATGAATTCCGCTGGTATGTCCTACAAGGCGATAGGTAGACAGCTTGGCTATCATTACACAGTGATCAGCCGTTTGGTCAGAAAACCATGTTGCCACCCAGAATGTTAAGGAAGATAGGAGCCTTGGTAGATTGGTCAGACGAAATCCGTTTACAACAAGCACCCGTCTTAAAAGGCAGTGGTTACCTGGTCATAATCTGTCAACCAGAACAGTAAGAAATCGTTTAAAATCTGCGGGACTTAAGTCAAGGAGAGT